AAGACTGGCACCACAGAAACTGTGGTATTACACACATCTTTCACCCATCCTCTAATTCCATCAGTCACTGCATTTCTTCTCAGCCACAGTTCCATCTTCTTCTCCCTGCCTGTCGACCATCTTCTTACATTGTGAAAGGCTGAGAAATGGAACCTGTGTATCCCCTCCTCATAACACCAGTCTCTTTCTTAGCTTCACCTCTCACTGCACACCAGAACTGCTGCCTTTCTGTTACAACTTCACATGGATTTGTTTCCACATGCAATCACTCTTCCCTGTCTCCCAGTGCAGAGAGGGATTAAAAAAAATATAAGTGCCCCAGTGTGCAGTTAGTTAGCTCAAGAACCTCCTCTACCCCTGGTTTTCTCTCGAGGTCACACTGCAGCTTATCTCCTGTGACTTTGTGAAGGTGCATTATAAACCAGGTGACTTGTTCAAAAGTTATTCCCAGGATTAGTATTTTGGGGATTTTTTGTTGTTTAAGCCTGATCCATTTCATCCAATCTTCTTTACAGCACAGATCCAGAGAACATAAAAAAGCACAGCTTCATTAAGAAAAAAAAAAAACAGGTTGCAAATTGCTAAGCATGGGCAGTCAGTGGGGAAGAGAGGACGGCAAAGCTTCAGTGCTGAAGACAATACACCATGAAACTATACTCTTCACCTGACTTGTTCCATCTCCTTTGAGATTATATTGTGCTTGCTAAGCCAAAAAACTGTGTGCTTCAATTCTAGCAAAAGCATGTCTGTATCCGGATCAGTGAAGAAAATGCCACCACACTGAAGAAGCAAGCAGCCCTTTGCCCCAAGTCTCCTAGTGACATTTCCTCTCCTTTCCAAAAGAGTCTTTGTCTTTTGTATCTGCCCAAACACTCCCTCCCTTACCCTTCCCACATACCTTTCCAAATCTTCCACTATCTCTTCAGCTCCTCCTGCCACCATCCACTATTCTTCCCACCGATTGCAGAGCTAGTCACCAACCTTTGCCCCTTCTTGCTGTACCCTCATGGCACCTCAGACTTGTTTTGACACTGGTGGAAAGTCATATGACTTCTGGAACACTCCAGAGTACTGGAGCCACTGATCAGATACCAGTGAAGTCTCACTTATCTTCGCCCTGAAGGGTGGCACGGTTAAGATTGTAGGGCTGTATTCAGGCAGCCTGAATTCCATCCAAATACTTTGGCCACAGTGCTTCCTACCAGCTGGCTTTAAACAGCTCTCCTCAATGCAACTTAAGAGGATCCAATGAAGGCAATTCAAAGACTGCCAGTGTCCACCTCACCCCAATAAACAGACAGTGATCCAAGCAGAATTCAAGTTAACCAAGTACTGCCCTTCAAGCCAGCAGTGCAGATGACTCCAGCTATCTACACTGATGTGATGGCTCATTTACTCGTAACTTACTCAAAAGCTAAGATGTTAAAGATAAGTATCTGGCAGAAAGATAACCTGTTTTCCTTTTTACTAGCAAGTAAAATATTAACTGTCTTGATGACCAAAGCAGAGGAAAGCAAAAAAATTACATCCCTTTAATGGGTGGTTAAATCTTATTTATAGAACCAGTCCAGATAACATTTCTATGTGAACAAATCCAGCCAAACACCTACAGAAATAATAGTATTTAGATAGTCAAAGATTTACCTGGTTTGCTGGTATTAGAAACACAGCACAGTGCAAGAATAAGTTAAAGCCATGAAAGCTTAGATTAATTATTTGAGAAAAAAATACAATAAAATAGGATCGAGGAGAGGGATTGGTTATAAAGGAAGAAGCTGGGAAGAACAGAAGATAGCTGAAGTTCGTGAGGTTCAGTAACTAAGCATTTAGAATCCCTTCTAATATGGGAATGTATTAACTGCTAAATTTTCCTTCCAAAAAATTGCAACTGGGCATGAAAATAAGCTTTTCCAAGCCTCAGCATAGATCTCTACTACCAGCTGAACCTTACGTTCTCATTTCAGCAATCAGAGGATCACAACAGCATATGGCTGTTACAGCAGGAGTTAAAAATGATGCTAAAAGATCACCATGCTCCCCTGAAAAGTTAACTTACAAGGGATACAGTTCTACTTGATCACATGACTGAGTCACATAAGCAGGTGTTTCATTTGGGGTTTGGTATTTTGTTGTTTTGGGTTTGGTTTTTTCATTAGTAAGCTAGACAGCAGCAAGAGAAGAACTACAGCTTAATTTATGTAGTTCTCCAGCTTCTGGGCAGCACAGACCTCTGTGCTGCCATGGCTAGACTGTCTTCTACTTCAAAGCTAGCTCCTGTAAGCCTACATTAAACCACAATCACAGCATGGTGCATACAACCAGTGAAAATCCCTGCAATTCAGAGCTGAGGACAATTACTATTGAGCTCCTCTGTTTATGAGTACAGCTAGCTCGTTAACAGACACTTTTTCTCCTCTGTTAAAGACTGTTATATTGGGAAATCATTAGTCAATGGTTAAATCCACAGCTTCAGCAAACCACAGCTAGAAGACAGTGAAGGTAAAAAACCAATAGAAGATACATCTCTTCCACATTCAGATATGGTGCTTGTTGCTATAGGACATTATCAATCAAAAAAGTAGTCGTTAGCATATATTACAATATTTGTTTATGCTGTAGGAACATCTAGGAATCCTGTTCAAGAAGAGGTCCACAAAATCCTAACTTACGCATAAATTCAGAGTAAGATTATATCCTTTTCCTTACAAACTGGATACCAATTTACTTACTCTACTGGATTTACAGAGAAGTTTAGAGGCTGTTCATGATGACTCCACTTCTATCAGAATTTTA